ACAACAGAAAGAACGATGAGGATGACGACAACGGCGAAGACGACCTAACGACCAAGCGACGAAACAGAGAGACATAAGAAACAGTATCAAACTGATAAATTAGCAAACGATGCATGCGCAGGCGCACACAGTTTAAGCAGATATCTATTATATTCACCGAGCATTGCACACAAAAAAGCAAATTGGTAAAAGTGGAGTGTCGCCGGGAAATTTGACATTACTTTGTATATTTCTATATAAATTTTCCCGGAGCCATTTCATATTCACCGGCGTTAACTTAATAATTTGAAATGTTCCAACGCAAATGAACTCCATCTATTGTTTCAAACGGTAAAATGAACTAATTAACCGAAAAATAGTTTTCGACGAATTATGTCAACGCCGGTAAATATGAAATGAGTCGAAGATTTTTTTAAATAGAAATATACATAGAAATGCCAAATTTCCCGGCGACTCTTTACATTTACCAATTTACTTTTGTGTGTGTGAGCATTGGGCATTCAACATTCGGTAATATAGATGCGAAACGATGCATTACATACAAATAATCGCCATGAAAATGCAATATCATCATTAGCAAACGAATGCAAAGGACTCATCTGTGTTTTACTACGATATGCGAATATGCAAAAAAAACACTAAAAACAACATTATTTTATCGCATTGTCGTGATCAACGGGGTAACAAAAAAAAAACCGGCATACACAAACACACACACACACACACACACACATATCAACAATTGCGCTCACAAACACAAACATTTTCGCGCTACGAGCAAGATAATGTATTGCAGACATATTGTGCAGGACTAGACGTTTGGATGTGAGGCGAAGCGAGATAGAACACAATTAAAAAAGAACCTAAATTATAAGACTACAATGTTAACAAAGGAAAAAAAAGAGACTCGTATTGTACCTTTAGTGTATGTCTATACATATGTGCGCCACGTACAACATCGGCACAGATTCATCTGGCATTACAAATTCATTGTAATTTAATTCTTATTGAGCATAAGATGTGAACGTTTAGTGTTGCTACTCCGACAAACGTGTTTAATGTTCTTATAATTATGATTACTGTATCGAAATGTTGTGAATTTTGTACACTAAGCCAATTCATGCAGCGGACAATATTATACAGTTCGGTATATTCTTCAGACAATCTTACTGCGCTATTACACGAATAGAGCTTGATTTGCAGTATTTATTAAGCGATTGATAGCCATATCAGCTACCACGCGGCAACAGCACCCGATATTCAGCCAAACGGATTGTCATCTTCAATTAATAATACCATTTCGTAGTGATCATTCAAATTGCACAAAAAAAAAAAAATTATTAATAAACTAGGTATGTATATCGTCGACTAATGACCAATCGTGTGCAAATATTGGTAACAACATAATCAATCTAGTTTTCATTCTGAAAATAATAATCAATGGTACATTCACCAGGCGACATATAAGATGTATGGTATAAATAAAAACATTAGATATAAGGTCAAGCAAAAACAGAATTTTCCTGTGTGTATGTGTTTTGAATATTTTAGCTGAACTTCAGTTCTGGCTCTAACTTTGGCTCTGACTCTCTGTTGGACGTCTCATTTCAACCTAATAATACCTCTTCGTAATCCCACCCGCCACTTTTATTATTACATCTCTACGATTTTAGTTTCTTTTTTTCTTCTTCTCTCTTTTGTTTGTGTCGCCGTCAACATTTCATCGACATCAATATTACTGTTATTGTTCTCGACATAATCATATTCGTATTAAATTACGGAACGTCATCGTGAGCACACAGAAAAATTGTGTGCTTTCGTGAAAAATAGCCGGGCAGCAGATTCGAAACGCAGCCGATGTGAATGTCTGCTTACTTGATTACGACACTAATGTAAATAAATAATCGATGTGTGGCGAGCGCCGTTAAAGCACACAAAATGATATTTTTTTGGTTACGTTTTCATATAGGAGCCAAAGCGTACGGCGTTGATGACGATGATGATGAAGAGATGGAGGCAAGATTCGAGGGGCGTCCCGACGCTGAACAAAATCAAACAGAGAAACAGTTGGGCAGAGGAAGCTAAATTAATAATTGTTTTTCATGTGATATTTGATAAATATACACATTATTAACAGCACTGCGGTTTGTAGACATACAGCCTCAGTCCATCGATCCAATGTGCAGCCGATGAAGCTCTTGATTTTCGCCCGTACAATTTCGTTTCATACGTATATATGTATGTATGTATGTACAAAACATTTTTCGGGGTAAGTGAATATAAGCGTAATATATTTGTTAGTGAATTGATTTTTAATGGATCTGCAGGAAGTATTCGTGTCATGTTTTTGATATTGTTGTTATAATTAATGACGCCGTTTATTGATGCTGTGTGGCTTTCAAACCGCAAAAAAAGAAATGTCATTCACTTTGTGCTTATATAACAATCGGTAATGGCCACAATTAAATATTTCAATCAATGCAACGCACACGAACATGTATGTGCTGCGTCTGTGAATATATGTATTATGTCCGACACAAAACTTTCCGCCTCAATTCGATTTTAAATATTTCAAATACCGCTCGATTAGCACAGGGATTTCAATAAATGGATAGCACACAGCAAAATTAATATTTAGTATGTTGAAGTGATTGGACTTGAAATGGAATTAAATATTGTTTTTTGTTTGGAATGAAAGTGTTTGCAAATTTCAATACGTATCCAAATTATTTTTCCGTTGAAATTTTTCCCATTTATTGCTTTCTTCGGAAACTCAGTAATACACACCGGGTGGCGATGTTGTTTTCATATCGATCAATATGTACGGACCACAATCGATCACCAACAAAATGAAGAGAAAAAAATGAAATGGAATTGTGAAAATGTCTATTTAATTGCAAGCGAAGTATACTCAAGCACATCATATCTCTGAAAATAAACAAAATTCAAATCCCCATTTGCAAACCAATTATGAACGCGATGTCTAACTTCTTGATATTTTCATTATTTCGCTCGAACTCTGCACGAAGCAGCTGAACCTTTCTCGTTACAAGCTTTGTTCAACCTTTCTAGGTACTCATTGACAACTGTCTTCGATGGTAATCTGTCAATCATAATTATTTCTCGGTGTGGTTTTTTTTCTGCTGTATTTCTTCCCCTTTTGGTCTCTTTGAAGAAATTATACGTGCAATTATAATTTTTGACACATGTCAATTTACTCTTTGCTTTGTGCAATCGAATTCTATTTCTGCTTAACGTTTCTTTTTTCAACTTTTGATTTGGCTTTGTTTTTATTTTTGTTTTGATTTGTAGGCACTTGGCGACATCATACACATTCATGCTGTAGACAACATTTTCTCTTAATTTTTTCACTTTGCTTTACCTTTTGTTCTTTATTCTTTCTATAGTATACTTGTTGAGAAAAACGCTTCAAAATATAAAAAGATGTTGTTGCCAATTGTTCTGTGTTTTTGTGCTGTTCCATTGTTTCCCTTTTTCCAATGACACTTTGATTTCTTTCGTGTCCCATACGAAACTTTGTGTCTGCTCTCTTTATAATTTTACTTTCAGTGTTATACTTCTTGAGCCACCCCCGTGAATTGAAATTTAAGCCTAATTCAATGGCAAAAAATCGAGAAAAAAGGACATAATTTGAAAAGTTAGTGAAATCAAAGCAGAAGTTAAAACCTATATACATATATGTATATATATATATATATCTGTATTCATGTGGCATACGGTGCACACTGTAAAATATGATCAATTGCATCTTCAAGAATGACAAAATCAGCGTGCGAGACTGAGAAAAAAGAGACAAAATGAAAATTGTTCTTTTTTTTTTTTTGGTTTTCTCGCATTGTGTAGTTAATGTGCTTTCCATTGTAATGGTGAGGTGGGAAGTAAATCTATTTATTGGCTTTGTATAGGTTAATCCACTCAAGAGTATATTCAAAAATGTCAATTGAATACTGAGTCAGATTTGTGAACATAGATTTGTTGCAACGGTTTTGAAGAGAGAAAGAGACCGAACCACACACACGCAGGGAAAATGAGAGTTTTCACTGCATCGCTCATGTGTTCATTGTTAGACTGTTAATGTTTTTCAATACAGTACGATGTACTCTTTGCACACATATCCAAACAAACAACATGCATTATCCGATTAAGTGATTACTTCAACGTCTAACAAAATTTATAAGTTCATTTCAAAACGATTTTTTGACTTCATTTCAGCTTCGAAGATAATCTAAATGTTTGCCAAAAATATTCCATGCTTCAAAATAATTCTCGTAGCACAATTTATCATCATCAAAATTTGTTTGCAATGTTTCTTCTCTATTGTGAATGCGCCCGAGAAGAGAAACACTGGCCTCTTTAATGTTGCCAATGGGATTAGTGATGGGCGGTAAAGAACTTTCCAAAATAAAACCATCACACAAAAACATTGTTATCGTATTGATTGTTTATGTAGGCAATTGGATTAAGTTACAATTGAAAATAATTGAAAATGCGCAAAGAGGAGTGCAGAGATTTAATGTTCAGTGTTTGTTGTATGGCGACGGCCATGAATAGGGAATCACTGCATGTTAATTCGATTTTCAGGTGAATTTTTCGGTGCAGATTCATAGAGTTAATCTCATAAAAACCCGTTTCCTTGGTGAACACGAGAAATTCCAATACTGACATGTGTTTTAACTAGCTTAAACGAAGAGAACATTTGCAAAAATATTTCAATAATAGAAAAAAAAATATACTTACGCATCGAATACCAACTTACAAAAACGAAATTTGTAATCGGATAATCGTACTGTTCAATACATAAAGACGCTCTCAATGCCCTTTTCAAGGTGTCAATTGTAGACTGACTTTTGAAAATATAAATACTTTCCCAGTTTTCCCAGTATTTTAGTGTAAATCCATTATTAAAATGATGAAATAATAATCGCAATGCAACCAAAGCTAAATGAAACAACGTGATGTTTGTGTAGTTTGAAGACTTTCAGTTTCTTACAGTTTATTTAATGTCTTTATACATATATATTCTTTTTTTTTTTTTTTTTTGTTCTCTTGTTTTCCATTATCTCAATAACCTAAACAATAGCTACTGATTATCTTATCCAAGATTTAATATGCATTTATATTTTTTTGATATATTTTATTTTTTAAATCTGGTTTGTTTCTCATTTCTATGTGACATTCTATTATAATTATTTCTTATAAGACTAATATGTATTTAGGTTATAGAATTCTTATTCCTTTTCCGATTTGTTCTTTTTTACACATTATTTTGTTGTATGTTTGTTGTTTTCTCTTTTATATTCGATAACTAATGACATGAAAATTCTAAACACAAAATAAAATCACATTGCGTGCATTTTGAGATAAATGATACACTCTCTATCTCTCCTGATAAAATTATTTATTATTTATCATTATTATTATTATTATTATTATTATCATTATTATTATTATTTATTGAGATGATGTATGAATGAGTGAGGACAATAGAAAATATATTGTGTATCGATATCAATGCGTTTGTTTCTTTGTATATAGTCAGTGTCTGTAGTTCACAAAAATTAAGCTCAAATTTTAAATTGAACGAAAAAATAGAGATTAAGTGATGTGCATTTTGCAGTCAAAATATTTACTATTAGTAGGGGATACGGTAGGCTTTTTAGGATAAAATAAAAACCAAATAATAGAAAAGTGAGAATGAGAAACGAAATACCTTTGGATTTTGATTCTATTTACATTTTCATTTGTTCTTTGTTTTCATCATATTTTTCCTCTCGATTTTTGCTCTACATAATTTAATCATATTACTAAATGTGCTTGAGTGAAGTTATCGATTTTTTCTTTTATTTTCTCATTTAAAACTACTATTTACAGGCTTACATATGAATGAAGTCTTTATGAAATGTATGTAAGTTCACTAAAATGACATTAATCTAACTTCATGTATTGATGTGTGTTTATGTGATTTTTTGTTTATGTTTTGTTGGTTTTGTGAAAATAAATTAGTGCAAAACAATTTTTAGCTGGCCGATTTTTTTTTTTTTTTGGGGGAAACCTGTGCCGAGCGCGACATATTCGAATTTGCTCAGTGCGTTGGGCCGGGTGGCTTTCTGTATGAAGATGTGTATGCATTTCCATTTCATGTAATGCTCGAAGTGCTAAATGTTGATTGCTCTCTCGCTTAATTTACGGTTATGGCGCATATTATGTGCTCAAACTTAATCAGTCAAAAAGTGTATTAAATTAGCGAATGCAAATTGCCACGCGGTCGTCTTGCTGATAAATTAATTTGTCAGATTATTTCTACACTACAGATGCATTCCGTTGCCGATGATGCCTGGTGGTGCGAAGTAGCCAATGTTGCCCATGTTCATGTAAATGGCTGTGCCTGTTGTACGGCCCATTTGTGCCATGCGAATTTTTTCAATTTCAGCCTCTTGCAAACGCTTCGCTTTGGCTCGACGATTCTGAAACCAGATTTTCACTTGCGTTTCAGTCAATCTCAGCGACGATGAGAACTCAGCACGTTCAGCAATACTTAAGTATTGTTTTTCACGAAACTTCTTTTCCAACGATAGTAATTGGGCCTGCATTTTAAATAAATTCAACATATTGAATAAACCAAATAAAAAGAAAACAATAAATGATTAGCGATTGACAAGTTTGAAAACAATCGGCTGACACTTATGGGGAAAAAAAAATCTAATGCAAAACTACTGGCTAAATGAGCATGTTTAATTACCGTTGTAAATGGTGTTCGTGGCTTTCGGTTTGGCTTATGTTTCCGTAGGTTGCATTTGATCCGAGGTACTTCACTACCATCTAGAATGGATAAAAAAAAACTATAATTAAATGAAATAGTTATTGGTACCATCATGGGAAGTGTTTGTCTTATTATAATGCGATTTGTCGGTGTTCTTCCACAACTGCGCCGGTGTTGTTGTGTTTTTTCATCGCCATGATTTTGCTCGAAAACGTAAATTGTATGCAGACATGCAAAAACGACGGCATATCAATTATGCTGCGGGAATAAATAAAATACCGACAAAAGTTTCATACATGGGCAAGAATTAAGATTTGCTTTCGGTGCTGTTGTGTTTTCCGTTTCTTTTTCTCTCTTTCTTTCCCTCTCACCCCTCCCCCCCCCCTCCTCTCTCTCTCTTCTTTCTTTCTTCTATTTTCCATTGGATTTTTTCAACAGTTTTTGTTCCTCTGTCTGATCTCGGCGAGGCCGGCTATAGGAAATTTGCCGACAACGTAAATAGTTTTGAGTCGTTCGCTTAATGCTGTTTTATATACACATGCACTCATCTACTCCATTCGGGCCGACTCACAAAAATTGTACTTCATTCAAGCCCATAAAATTCCTTACATTGATTTAGTACAATTCTCAGTAGCAATAAATCAATCGCTCTTTCTTTCTCTCTCTGTCTCTCTCTATTCGCTGGCTTAGTTGGACCTTTTTCATTTCGAGCTCTACTTTTTCCATGTTACGTTATTCGTTTCTGTCTCATCGTCGGAAAAGTGATTTTTTCGTTGATTTATTTGTCCGAATCCGATTTTATTTACATAAAATGGTAATTAAAAAGTATAAATTTGCCGTCGCTTTTGCTGTATGTGCCGCGCCGGTTGTGAATGTATGTGGTATGTGTATGAAAGTACCTATTTACCCCGATTTGCAGTTGCATTGTTTTATTTTTGTAGGTACGAATAACTCCAATATATTGGATACAAAGTGAAAAGGTGGAACAGATTTCGATAAGAAAGATGTTAATCAAACACTTTGCATCGGTCTTGTCTACATTAATTTTCCAAAAGAGAACATATTTTATCTGCTTGCAATGGAACGGTTTGTCTTTCTATTTTTTCCTATTTTTTTCTGTTTTTTTATTTTCATTCTGTCATAAAGTGCTTCGATATGCACGAATCAGAGCTGGCACATACATCGAAATTATCCCTTTTACGCAATCACACGTTCAACAAACTAATTAGAATTGCTGTTGAAAACGTTTTCAATCCTTCGTTATAATACGGAAAACCTTTTACACAACGACGCAACTAATGCATAAATCGTCAATCTGGTGCGTATACATATATATACGGTTAAATAGCGAAACAACAAGCGATGCAGGGCAAAACAAACGGTTGTCACATTAACAACTGAAATGCATGTTAATAGAGATGTTAATTTATTTACTGAAGTACAAACGACGAACCGTAAAAGCGAAAAATCTCGGCATTCCACTCGGATCGAATGTCTTACACGCAGTGTTTTGTATTTGTCAGTGAGTTTGATGAATGTTAAACTGAAAATGTACAAAATAAAAACAAAGCTCCATCTCACTTTCGATTGCTGTTTGTGCTCTTAACCGTCCATTTCGTTGCATCGTATTTTGCTTGTTGTATATAATTCATTCATTTCACTTTAAAGACCTTCAAATTCAATGCATCTCGTCGAGTTGCAATGCATGCTAGCAATGCTAGTAATGCTTAGTGGCTCAGTCAATCGAATACCAAGCGAGCGAGAGAGCGAAAAAAAAATGTGAAGATGACAAAAACAAACAAGGCAACAACAAAAAAAAATCCCTCGAAAACGAAAAGAAAAAACGAATAAGTGGAAATGATTCATTTAACGACATTTTTGTATCTCTGTCACTCACTTGTACGCACTTGCGACCCAACTACCGATTAACGGTTTGGCATTGTTGAGCCTTTGTCGTTTTATTTTTTTCTTTCTCTCTCGCTTTGTCGACCATTTGGCTTAGTTATCGTTAAATGGAATGAGGGAGTCAATTTTCGGCTATGTGAGCTCCATTTATTAGCCTAATTTACTTCTATTTATTAAAATCACATTAAATTTGGTGTCTTCGTCAAATGCATTTACAAAAACACCTCCGACATCCACAACATCATCAAACGTCCATCGCATGAAATGAACACTGAATGATGGAAGCGCTAACATGCAACAATGAACAATTTTTTTTTTCTCGTCACATTTGTCCAACGAAAATAAATAATGAATATGCATGGCCCTTGGCTGTTAGTTCATTATGCTTATTAGTTCCATTATTTTAACTCCTTATCACACAAATGGAATCAATTTGAGTCTATTTGTATGCTTCGCTTAAATAAGTTTATGTGGCATTGCAATTGGAGTCGCTATTTTAACATATGACCAGTTATTGCTATTACTTATTACGCATATCTTTATATAATAATCATATTATGCTATGCAAAAATAAACGGTCTCTATTTATACGATACTTCGGCAATGACACGCTACAAATAAATAAACAAATGAAAGAACGAACGAATGAACTAAACAATTAATATACTAAAATGTTTTTTTTTTTTTCATTCGCCACCGCTGCCGTCGCTGCCACTGTCGTCATCGTCACCGTTAATAAAGAGTTAAGTGACAAAAAAATAGTATAAAAACAAAAGAAACAAATTTAATGTTGCGTTGATCGAAATTTCATAAAACTTTCTGCTACAATGGAAAGGTGGATTAATTCTGATGAATAAAAATACGGTTCTAAAATCGCTCTGTACACACGTTATACGAATGGGGCCTACAGTGTGTCGCATGCACAGGAAAGTAACTAACAGCCACTGTTGACAGCAACTGTTCAACAGCAGCGCTACGTAGCCAGCGGATTCTAAATGCTAGAAATCCAAGAGAAATAATTCTTTATATTTCTCATAAGAAAATAAAAAACAACAACACGCACCGTGCTTGAGTTTAGGCGAGAAGAAAAACATTCGTTAGCCAATAAATCACGGCATTGCTCATTTTCTCTGCTCTTACGCGTCGTGAGACAACGATAGCAAATTAATTTGAAAAAATAAATACAAAAAATGCCCATTCATAATATAATTTAGCAATTATGTTTATTGGTATTATGTTTTTAGCACTACATGAAATGTAAGGCTATTGGTCTCGTTTTTCCTCTCTGAAGATCAAAGACTGGTGTCAAGTGTCAACAAATTAGGCGTCCGGCTAGCAGGCATTGGTTTAAAGCAATGGTGTCGGACACCGTATAAAAAAAAGTTTGTTGTAAAACAACAAAGTAAAATTAATTAATTCAATTCTCCAGCAAGATCGCTTAATAGACGAAGAAAAACGATACGCAGCCCTCTAGGCGACGGACATTCAAAACAGTCATCGTACATATATTGAGCGGGCACTATCGATGCGTTCATTTGTGTGAGTGCGATTGTGTAAACGACAATGTTTGTGTTCAATATGTGTACTATGACAGCTTCGAGCATTTCACGCGTAGAGGCGTCTTGGCGTCTTGGCGTCTCACGTCAAATCTTACCCATGTATTTGTATACGAAGAAAGTGACCTTGTCTCCAGAAAGCAGAGTGGAATGAAGCGAAGCTCTGCAGTCTAGCTTTCCTGTTCTGTTCTTTTTGTTGTATTGTACTTTCTCTGCGTGTTCCATATCGTGCGCGCGGGCACGATGCTTTTTCACAGTCACTTGTGTGAGAGCATTTTTTTATCCGTTGCAATTAATTATTTATTTTGCCGCATATGCAACTTTTTGTCGATATAATCGCCACACATGCAATGGTAAGCGCTAGGTTTTTTTTTTCATTTTCACTTCACGAACACTAGGGGCTTACTTTGTACTATCCATTCGAGTCTATTGCACTGACACTCAAATTTATTTCCATTAACAAAATCCAACGAATGAAATTGATTTTTTTTTTTTTTGTTCTTTAATTTCGACTATTGCATTGCTATATTTTTTATGGGAGACAAGTGTTCGATCATTTCTCGGTTAAATTTCTCAGAATATTAAACGCTCCTATCCGTTTGTTTACTTTCTTTTCTAATCTTTAACGATTTTGTCTGGTTGTCACTAAATTAACACGCTCTTCAATCGAAATATTCACATTAATTAAAGTCGACCAATGACAAAATTCTTCATGCCATCTTTTCTTTATTCGTGGAATATTAGGCGAAAGCAACAAAAATGGAAATGTTGACAATCATTTTGATCAAGTGAAATTAATCCAAAATGACATAATTTTGTCTATATGCTGTCCCTTCTAGCTTGAATTTCTTCTGGCTTTTCAGTTTTTTTGTCATTGTGTGTATGTTTATATGTGATGAATGAATGAAGTTAACAAAGGTGTACAAAATGAAATCGACCAATTGGACGTTTCGACCTAATAGTTGTCACTCATAGCACATCAATAGATACATAGATTTATGGGAACAGTAAACTAGCTAGCAACAATCAACACACACATGGCCGCGGCTGCCGATTCTTCTGTAGTTTTAGACTATTTCGTGTTTGTATAAATGACTCTACATGGAATGTGTGAGTGATTTGGTGACATGCGTGTGATAAGTGAAACGAATTTTCAAAACTGATGTGTGCGCATGTTAGTTGTTGTTGTCTTTTTCAATTTCGTTTCGTATATGCGGAAAGAGAGTCGCAGCGATTGGAATGTGACTCGATGTATTGCTCTCGTAACATCATCAAACAAACAACACTTGCAGCGAATACTCCATGTCATACCATAATTTTTGATTTGCTCGGATGCAATTTCTCGGAATTATTGCGTATTTTATTTCCTCAATACACATAAAGAGACGTCAACCGGCGGCAACGTGCCACTTTCCAAGAATGAATTTGTGTGTTTGCTCACATACACACATTTTCGCTTCATTTTCACATATCGCTCCATATGTGGCGCAGACAAATGTACACATTTGCATGGACGCAACTTCACTTTTGTCTATTCCATTATTTAATTAGCGCAACAAATGCGTTTTACTCGTTCCCTCTAATTCAAACACTCATCG